GTCTGTTCTTGGCCATAGGTAACATGAGCTGTGTGTTGGGAGGCGCCATGTAGAGTGATATTTTATGAGTGGGGAGGAGCTGGATGAGACTTGTGTTGTCAGGCACTCTTGTCGTGATGTACGCAGAGATGTCCAGGGACTGGGATATAGTGGGAGAAAGAGGAAAGAAAGTGATTCATTAACGTTGCAGTGTCTTTTATAAGGAGCAGGAAGCGGCACGTAGGAGGAGGCCTGTTCCCTCACAACACTTCTTTCTTGAAGGGAGGCGCGATTCAGGTTTCTGGACAGAATTTCCCGATATTAAGTTATCGTAGAAGGAAATATGAAATGCCCATAATATCGGTTCTGCTTGGGGTTGGAATTATAGACCTATGATGGTAGGGGGTGACTTCAACCCCTGCAGTTCCCCGAATACTCATCATCAACCCTCCCGACCGCCGTTTCTCGCACCCTCCACATGTCTCCTAAATGACCCAGACATGTAACTTGACATCAAAAAGTGGAGACGGTTTAATGTTAACAAAGACAAGTAATAGCCCGTGTGCGAACCATACGGTGCTGCGAGTGGTGATCAATGTAACTTGTTTCAACATAATAGAAGGAAATCAGGCACAGGTTGGAGAAGATTTAATGGTGTATAAGATCTGAATAGTAACTTGCACAGATATAGACATTTTTTTTTTACCCCCCCCTGTTATATACAGTGACTAAGTTACTTTGAGTAATTATATTAGGTAACTGAGTGACCTTATCAACAATGTGAAAGGAGACACCATGACAGTCATAGAAAAAACAGCCTAAAACATTAATTTCTACTAAAAACTTGACTATAAATATTTTTTACAGAGTGGTAGAAGAGGATTATCAGCTGGTAATAAAACTTTGACTTGTTCACCACTGGTTGCTCTAGACAATGTGACATAGAGTTGTCTATGACTAAAGACATCATTTCTGAGATCTATCCCAACATGAGAAAGGGATTGACCTTATACCTTATTCATGGTCATAGCAAAGGCTAATTTAACAGGGAATTGAAGTCATGTAAGGTTAACAGAGAGATCATGAGAGGCTTAAGAAGTAATACAAATTTGTAGAGTTAATACTTCCACTCCCTTTATCATTCCTGTGAGAATAACACCTTTACTCTTAATTCTTTATTGGTAATACTCTTGGTTTTAAGAGGAAAATTTAAAACTTGCCTTGAATCAAATTTCTTGATAGAGCAGTGACTTTAATACATGTACCATTGCATAAGCCCTGCTTGAGATTCAAATTCTACAGTAACATTATTGGCACACCAACTTTTAACTTTAATTTGTGTGATGGGGTTCAAGTAGGATTTAGGTTATTTAAATAATCTGGTATATAGATAGACTAATCTTCATCAGAGACTGTATCAGTACTGAGGTATGTTTGAATTTCTCCTTCACTTGTATTTCTCCTCAATAAAACATCATCTACTATATCAACACTGATGTTGCAAACAGTCAAAATAGGTCTTTCAGAAAGATACTCTAAGGGGGAATTAATATTTGCTTGATACTTCAGGAGTGGATAAATTTCTTCCATCAAAGTGGGAAGCATATTTTGTTGAAGAAGCATAGATAGCCTCAGTTGAATCTTTTCAACATCAATTATACCATCAGGATTCTGACTTCCTTCTAGTCCAGTTCCAACCCAAAGAATATATCCAGCAAACTCTTCCTCCTTCCAATGACTTTCAGCATCTAACCTAAGATTCAAGAGTTGAACATTCTCACTCAAGACTAATGGTTTGATCTGGTACTAGTAGTTTGATTGCTTGAGTATCACACTGATAATTTGAACTCAAGATCCTCCTGAGGCTACAGGTAGATATTGATGAAAGTCACCTGCAAACAGGACTGTAATACCTCTAAATGGTTGGTGATTCTCACAAGTATCACAAACTATTTGAGATACAACCTCATATGCATACTTCTGCTACATTGTTACTTCATCCCAAATAATTAATGCAGTTTATAGAAATACCTCTGCAGTTAGTAAATCATGGTTAATTGAGCAAATACTTCTATTGTCAAGCACCAAGGAAATTTTGAACATGGATTGAGTGGTATAGTTACCACTCAAAACACAGTAACTATGCTGCTTGAAGCAACTACTAATGCTATTTTCCCTGTAGAGCAAATCTTTGCCAGGAGTAAATTTTCTAGAAAAGTTTTCCCAGTCTTACCAGAACCATGTAGGAAAAATAAACATTACTCTTGTTCTTTAACTACCTTTAATACTGCTTTGTAGACATCCTTTTGTGCTATATTTAGTCTTGATTCATCTCTCTTAACCTCATTTAATAATTCTGGATAACTTTAGTTAAGTTGGTCATCAAGTAGTCAGTTTCCTATACTTCCCCCACAGTGGTAATAATTTAGATAAGGTAGAGGAAGCAGTAGACCAAGATTGTCTAATATTCTTCCCATATCTCTGAGAAGTTCACTCAGAAAATAAAGTCCAATACTGTAGATCTTTTCCTCAATTGGTTTTTGTATTCCAATTTTATTAGTAAATAAATATCGGCAATCATCATAGAGAAAGTCTTTAAATGTATTTCAAAGCTTTAGTAGATCAGAAGGATTTCTACTACAAAGAATTATTGCAAATAATATCCTTAGTTGGTTTCCAGTTTAGATACCAATAGCCTCTGTGAGACATGTTACCTACTTATTATTATTTTCCAGTAGCCCTAGAGCTATATATGCCTCTCAGAAGGTAGCTCAAGGCTGATGTTCCTTATTTACTATATGTAAATTCTCAAAAGATGTAGCTCTTAGGCAATGGTATAGGAGCATGAAGAGATAAAATAATTCCTCAGCCTTTAGACCAACAAAATATATACAGCCAACAATGAAACCTTTGTTCCTTAACTTCCATACTCTATCTTTTTTCTCATAAACAAATCTATCCACAGTTAGTACTCTATTATTTAATTAATATGTAAACAGCTACTATGTTGTAGTGAATAAGAGACATCTATACAAAGCTTCACTAAGACTATCTAATAGAACTTGATGGTGGTAGGTGAGAGGGTTTAAGGGGGGGGTATAGTAATACAATATGGCTTACCTAGTCATATAATCTGTATATAGTAAGGATCTTCCTTCTGGATATAACTGATTTTTCTTAAACCATACAGTTAGGCTTGTATTTCCTACAATACCTTGTTGGACCTCATGGAAGCCTTTGCCTATATTAGGATTGAAAAATACAGCTTGTTTATTCTCTTGGTATAAAGAAAGTCAATAAACAGCTGGGTCTTTATCATGGACTTTGAACCCAAACAACTTAAAACATACCTCAGGTAGAGATATATACTAAGCATCTAGGAAGTTTTTGACCTCATTGATTTGGATTGCTCCTGCTGTTAGAGCCTGACTAACAGTTACATTTACTCTATCATTTCCCTTGTATATATACTTATATATATATTTGACTGCCTTGATTAAGGAGCAGACTTCAATATTAATGTGACAATTATACTTCTTACTGAGGTATAGATTATAGGGGACAATCTAGGTATTCATGTACTGATAATTGAGATATGACCTATTGCTATCACATATTCATTTCATGAAAGTGGTCACTTTGGAGATTGGTAGTTCTCCAATACCATCAATACCTATTGCTCTCAGGCTTCTCATGTATTTGGAATAGTCATCCAAGTTAACTATTGTTTCTTCTCTGAATTCTTTTGGGAAGTTTTTAGAATACCTCTCTGCAACTTCTTTACTATCATGTATATATAATATATTAGGAAAGAAAATGCCACAGGGACCATGTACCATTGATGTAGTAACTATTTCCCAAAGATCAGCCTCTTCAATTTGGCTAGAGAATTCTGCCTTTAGAATTCTATCCATCTTCTTGGGAGTTATTATTGACTTTTCTAAAATAACCAATAAATAGGCATGAGGAAGTCCTCTTTTTTGGTACTTAACAGTTCATATAAAAGCTAGAACAGGGCAAAAGATCTTGACCTTTTTGATATCAGACATTAACTCTTTGAATTTCAGTTCAAATATACATGCTACTAGATCTAGGCAGTCTAATAGAGTTTGTCTATTTTTCCATGTATTTCTAATTTCCTTCCACTGTAGATTACATGTCATTATAATGAAAAGATCTGGCTTCTTAAAGTACCAGATAATTGCCATTACATCATGGTAATTTTCACTCGTTTGCCTCAGTGATCAAGATATCAAGAATGGTAGAATGACCCTATATCCAATAGATTCCAAATTTAAGTTGAGTCAAGTGATATCTAAGCACTCCATCAGTCCAGAAAGTGCTTGTACTTTAAGCTTTGATTGATTTTCCTGCACCTAACATAGACTTTTCTGCTCATTTACAACAGCCACATCTACCACCCATTCTTGGAACAACCTCCTACCATAATGTAAGAGTAACTTTGTGCCTTCCCTTTCAAATAAATGGAAAGAATACCACATAATCAGAGAAACATATTTTGACCCCCCTTGCTCTTATTGGATTGTCTTGTCTCTATTGTGTAAGGAGTTCCTCTTCTTATTGTATTCCATATACTCTTTGATTGGCAACTCCTGCCTCTATATTTCTATATGGAGGAATATTTATATGCCAGCCTAATTCACCTTATAGAAGGAACAAAACATACTAAAAGGCAAGATAATGCAGATTTATCTCAGAGATTCAAGTTAACTCTTGATATTCATTTTCTCTACTGCAAGTATATATAATGATATCTCTCTTATCAGACTCCTCATCTCCTCAGCCAATTATCAAGATACTAATCTCATTCACTGTCAGCACATTATAGGTTCTTGGATCTTTATCCTGTAGATTTAAGACTTTTAATTGCAGTATTACAGTATATTTTGGATTGGATTGAAGTGTTTCTCCAGTGGTCTCATAGGTTTGCACTGACCAATTACATTACTGTAACAATTGTATCAATAATGAAAGGATAGTCTGGTCCAATGAATTATCTTGAAAAACATTCATTAAGTGGGAAACTTGGGTATCCAGGTCTCATGAATCATTTACATATATTTGTGCAAACTTGGACCTCTCCCCATCTTCTGGCAGTAATGATCCATCATTGTGGCATAGTACTCTCTTGATATGGAAAGAATATACACTGCCATTATTTTGTCAATAGGGGGTCTCAGTAGTTTCCAGTGATGTAAGAGAAAGTACATTATTATAGCTTCAAATTCTTTGCCAGAAATGAGTACTTTCTCTACTATCACTGATGAATAAATACTATAACAGCTCAGGAAGATCTGGAAATAAAAGAAGTTTAACTTTCCCCCAGTACAACAGCCACTAAATATTGGAATACTGTTACTGGAATGTGAAAGCCTTTCTTTCAGAAAATGTAGTTGTTGATAGTGTAGACACATTTAAGTTAGACTTGATAATGAGTGATGTTCAGGAAGTTGAACTCCTTGCTACCACTGATAAGCTAAAGGCAATACATTATGGATTCTTGGAGTATTTATTCTCTGTGATCAGCAAAAATTGTAGGTTTGCCAAATTCTCACCAATGTGGTAAACTTGGATATATTTTTATTTCACTTGCAATGATTACAGCATTGAAGCTAGGTTGCAGCAGCTATTTCGATTTCAGTCCCCCCTACTTGAACATTTTCCTGCCTTGGTAGTACAGGATTAAGTCTTCCTTATTGTTCATTTTCTTCTTCAAGTAGAGCAGATCTATGAGTATATGCATACCCCATTAGTATATTGGGTATCTCAGGTTCAAGTTCTACTCCCACATTATAATTGTGAACCTATTCTCTATTAGTAACATGTTCATTGATTATGAGTCTAGTAGACTATTAATCAAAATACAAATTTGGAGAATTTGGACTTACTACTATAGTACCTTGACTCCTTTCATCTTCTTCATGTGACATCACTCTCCTCTCAAGGTTTCCACCAAAACCACTTACCATTACCTCCTTATTCTCCATGTTCCTATTACAAACTGGGCATGGTTTGTTATGGTTTCACATAACATACAATTGTATATCATAATATTTCATTTGTTAAAGGTTTCACACATGACTCAGTTGAGCCATATGATATTATGTTTTGCACTATGACTCACATATGAGTCATAGGTTCTCACATGACTCACAGTTGTGAGTCATAGTTATTTATGTTTGAATTTGATTGGTATGTTGAGTGTTGACTCATATGGACGCATATGAGTCATAGGGATTAAGAGGCATGACTTTGTTTATACAGATCATGAGATTTTCACATATGACCAAGTATGATCATGAGGTTATATGTTACGCGAGTGTATGAGTCACAGTTGTCACTCATTTGATTTGTAAGCGGGTTGCTAGAAGAACTATATAAGAAGTTCAATAGGACCTGGTAGTTAGTTCTTCATACAACCACCTAAGTTATTTCCTATCTATTACATTACGAATAAAACACCTTTATGCTCTTTATACACCAAACAATCAAGAAAGAAAGACCAAGACTAAGTACCAGTTAGCGCTATAAGGACTTATTATTGACAAGGGTTGATATATAAGACATAGCATAAGATAACAAGTCTTAGAGTTCTTGAAGAAAGGAGAATACAATAGAAGGAGGTAAGATTATCTCCAAGAGAAGCTAACCACAGACTCATTACCTGTTGCAAGATATAAGATAGGAGAGATTGTATAGCCGATCGTAACATTTGGTTGCATCTTCGAAAGCAACACCCAATGACAACAATGGCAGAAGCAGCAGGAGATCAACCGATGCCCCCCCTGGGAGGCCACGAAGAACATGAGGAAGGACAACCCCTGACACTAACAGCAGAACAACTGACACAAATCCTGGCTGGACTACAAGGGGAAAGGAGACCCAAGACAGAAAAACCAGAAACCTTTAACAGAGAATGAAGTAAACTACAAACATGGCTAGCCAAACTAAGGGTCTACTTCCAGGCTGTAGGATGGCATGAGAACCACAACATGGACAAAATAGTTTACACAACAAGTCTACTAAGAGGGAATACAGCTATCTGGATCACACCTTATATGGAAGGAAGTTTAGCACAACCCTGGGATGGATCATGGGCACTATTCTAAGAAGCCATTAAAGAACAATTTCGGGCAATAGATCCAAGAGGAGAGGCTAGGATGAAACTCAAAGGAATGAGATAAGGAAATAGGCCCATGACAGAATACTGGAACAGCTTCAGAATAACTGCTACCGAAGCAGAATTAGATGAAGCAATGAAAGGAGAATGGCTATTGGCAGGAATGGACCCAACACTACAGAATGCATAGGGGATAAATATGGCGGCATTTGAAACTACGGAACAACTTGTCCAGTGAGCGATCACCAAGGAGACCAAACTGGCTATGGTTAAACATATTCAGAAAGGAAACAAGATGGGGATAGCTGCATGAAACACGAACGGAACATTCAAACAGACCCCACACCCAGGAGATCCTGGCGACCTAGATATGACGAATCGAAAGAAATACCAAAGATTAGCACAAGAGGAGTGGAAAAAACGCATGAAAGAAGGATTATGCTATCAATGTGGAAGGAAGGGACATATGGCAAAGGACTGTCGAGTCCAAAAAGCCAACATCAGCAAGTCCAAGATCAGGTGGATGGAGGTAGAGAAGGAACAAGAAGAGGCTTTAAAAGATGGAAGTCCTCAGGAATAGGTGGTCCCGAGGACAACAAGAAAAATTCCATCAAAAGAAGGATGTCATCCCCAGGAAAAGATGGACCAGGGGACGACAAGATAAAAACCATCAAAATAGCACACCTCCACTCAACTATCCTGAACAAAGAATTACAAAAACTCAAACAGGACCATATCATGGTCAAAATACAACTCCACAATGGACAACAGCAAATATCAACAAATGCAATAATAGATTCAGGAGCAACTGAGGATTTTGTAGACTGCAATTTCACTATAAACCATCAGTTACCCCTGATAAGGATTGAAAACTCAAGGGAAATATACATGGTGGATAGAACTGTATCCGATGCAGGACCCATCACCCATGTCACAAAAATCCCTATGGACATCAGAAGCCACAAAGAGAAAGCAACCTTCCTAGTGGTGAACCTTATCAAACATGAAGCCATCCTTGGCATGACATAGTTAAAAGAACACAACCCAAGGATTGACTGGAGAAAAGAAGAAATCACCTTCGATAGTGACAGGTATAAGGCAGTATGCCTTGATGCATCCCCAACGGTATATGCAATATCAGAAAAGAAAGCAATTCAAGAAAATCTGAAGAGTCGGATTTTAAGGATCAGAACTAAAGAAGGGCCTAACTACAAGGTTGTGGTCAAAAGGCTGAGAGAAGATGCAAAGATATGTATGAAGGGCTCGCAAAAAGCTGCAGGAAGTGACCTGTAGAGCATAGAAGGAGCAGTAATCCCAGCAAGGTGACAAAAGCTCCTCGGAACAGGAATTTCAATAGGACTTCCAGAGAACACCTATGTCCACATCACAGCCAGAAGTGGTTTAGCAAGCAAAAACAACCTCACCATCAATGCTGGAGTCATATATGCGGACTACACAGGAGAAATTCAGGTCCTATTGGCAAACCTGTCAGAAGCGGATTATGAGGTCCACAAAGGGGATAGGATTACTCAGGTAATTATCGAAAAAATAGTCTCAACACCCTTCAAGGAAGTACAACAACTTCAACCCACAGAAAGAGGTGAACAAGGATTTGGCAGTACGGATCGCCAAGAGAAAGAACCAGAACAGGATAAGAAAAAGCTATCAATAGCTTTTATCTCAGCACAAGCATTTGGCAAGATGCACAAGAAAGGAGAAATCACCGGAATCCTGAAATGGGACAATGCATGACTCATGCTACCAGCTACAATAATTAGCACTGAGCTAGCCCTGCAAAAGAAAGGGCAAGGCAGAAAAGAAACCTTGAGGCAAATAGTGCCTAAGGAATACCATAATTTCTTAGATATATTTGAAGAAAAAGAAAGAACAGAACTACCACTGCATAGAGTAGCAGACTACAAGATCAAAATGGAAGCACCACCACCATTCATGAAGTTCTACCCCTTAAGAGGAGAAGAACTTAAGGAACTCAGAGAATACCCTGAAAAGAATCTAGAAAGATGTTAGATAAGACCTTCATCCTCATCAGCAGGAGCACCCATACTCTTCGTCAAGAAAAAAGATGAAGGCTTAAGGCTCTGTGTGGACTACTGGGGCCTAAACACAGTATCAAAAAAAAAACTGATATCCGTTACCATTGATAAGTGAAGCCTTGGATTGACTGCAAATGGCGAAGTACTTCACCAAACTTGACATCAAGGACACATACCAACATATACAAATTGTCAAAGGAGATGAATAGAAAACAGCATTCAGGACATGATACAGACTATATGAGTACATGGTCATGCCATTTGGATTAGCCAATGCACCAGCAACCTTTCAATGATGGGTCAACAACGCACTCAGCAAATGCTTGGATGTCAATTACATAGCTTACCTAGATGACCTATTGGTATATTCGGATACCATGGAACAATATCGGGAAGATGTAGCCATGATATTAGCAAAACTCAAGGAAATTAGGGTTCGCTTGAAACCCACGAAATGCAAATTCCATAAAGAAGAAACCAAATACCTAGGATTCATCATCAACTCTGAAGGAGTAAGAATGAACCCTAGCAAAACAGATGCCATAAAGGTATAGACAACACTGGAGAAAGTCAAAGACATCCAGAGCTTTGTGGGATTCTGCAACTTCTACTGACAATTCATGGAAGGGTTTAGCAGAATAGCAAAACCATTATACAACAGGATGAAGAAAAACCTGAAGTGGGAATGGGGAGAGCAAGAGCAGAAGGCATTTGAGGGTCTTAAAGAAAGGCTCACTACAGCCCCAATACTAAGACACTTCAACCCAGAAGCACCTATTATGATCAAAACAGATGCATCCAATTATGACTGTTCTGGAATAATATCGTAACAAGATAAGGAAGGACTATGGAAACCAATAGCCTATCGATCAAAAACAATGACTAAGGTGGAATACAACTATGACATCCATGACAAAGAACTCCTTGCAATGATGCAAGCTCTCAAGGAATGGAGAAAATATGCACATGGAAGTCCACACACAGTCAAGATTCTTACAGATCACAAGAACCTTGTCCCATTTACAACCACCAAAGCTTTGAATGGACAACAAATACGATGGAGTGAGGAGCTCAGCAAATACAACATCAAAATAGAATATCAACCAGGCAAGGAAGGGGCAAAACTGGATGCTCTTACATGAAGGACAAATGACATACCAA